TCTTATGGACTAATTAGATTTGTACATATACTGCTTCCGTACATGTTAGCCCCATATGTAATACTCTGATTGCGAGCGAATTTTGAAAGTTGGCCTTCGGTACACTCAGATTACTGGCCATCACGGCACCATTCTACCAAGGGTGGAATGGGGTCGTGACAGGTAATATTTTAAATAGTAAACTTATTCATAACAAATAGTAAGTAAGTGAATAACAAATAGTAAGTTATTGTCATTTTTTTTTTCAAAATTAATTAAAACTACTCTACTTGTTAAAAAATTACCTAACTTTTTTTACTTAGTTTTGTTATTTATTTATCCAATAACTAGTATTCATCTTATTTAAATCAAATGATCTATATTTTTATATGTACTATTAGGAAAGTATTTTGCGAATGATGTCATGTGGCTAAGATAGCTCCGAGATATCAGCTAAGATGACACATGGATGAGTCATGTTTGTCGAGGTGACCACGACATTGTCGAGATGTTCCGCGATAATGTCGGAATCCCGAAATATTTGGATAAGGGACAAGAGTCCTAGAACAGAAGAGACTCTCAGTTTGGATAATGATAAGGTTCATGAGGAGTTTATCTCTATCTAGCCGAGAGTCCATGATTAGCATTGAGCTTGAGTCTAATGAAATGAGGCTTCTAAGGGACTAGATCACTGCTTGTTATAAAAGTGAGGCACCCTCGTGGGTCTGAGGTATGTTCTTTCTTGTGAATTGAATACTTGAGCGATATCTGTGAGAGATAAATTGACTGATTCGATCGTCGGAGTGCCCCCGAGTGGACGAACCATCGCGATATTCTTATCTTCTTGTTGGCAGGTGGTTTGCTTAATCTATTCTGTCACATGCTCTCCAACTAAGTTCGCTGCTTGGTTGTGTGGTCAGAAATCAACACTCACAATTTGGCGCCGTCTGTGGGAACTTAGTAAGGATAGATGGAGAGAGAATTGGGGACAACATCCACAGTGAAGAGAAGGAACACGTGGATCCTAACGCTAGAGGAGACAACGGTAACGAATGAGTTCATGATCCGAATCCTATGGTGAATGATGTCGGCAAGCGATGCAATAGCCTGAGGAAGGGAGGTTGAGATGAGTATTATAATAAAAGCGATCTCCAGGCAATGAAGGATAGATGCTTGAGAAGGGATGAGGAGATGAAGGACATGGCGAACAAGTTGATAGACCTAAAAACTGTAGTCAACCTCATAATGCAACCATCGTTCCCGTTGCAGGACACGCCAGCACCAGCAACCAAAACCGATGCCCTGAAAGGAGGACAGAAGACAGTCCCAATTGTCCCACAGCATGGCAAAGGACAGGGAAACTCACATCGACCATTACGGGATGTTGAACATACAAAGTCAGTATGAGGCGAGTCACTGAGGACACCACGGACCAAGGGGACCTATGTTAAGGGATCTCAACAGATCCAAGGGCAAGGAATCTATTTTGATGTAGTGGACGAAGGAAAGTCCAAGAGAACGCACAATTACACTAAAAGCAACGCGTTGAAAAGGCTGAAGTCTATTGATAGCCAAGCTTCCGGATGAAAAAATGAGGACCTGAGAGATTACCTCCAGAGAAAGAGACTCAACGCCGAGATTACATCCAACGCCCAGCCGAAGATGCCATTCTCAGTGGAGTTAGATCCATTCGAGGCTCTGAAAAGATTCAACATGCCGAGGTTTTAAATTTATGACGGAAAGTCTGATCCAAACTTTCATGTTGGTTTGTATTTGAATTCAATGGCTTTGTGGAGCGAGAATGAGCAACTGTTGTGAAAAGTATTCCCATCATCCTTTGGAGAGATAGCTTCAGATTGGTTCCATAAATTGCCGAAAGGGAGTGTAAAGAATTGGAAAGGCCTGGTCGAGATGTTTGTGGCCAGGTTTGTTACAAACAAGTCGCAGCCACTAAGGGTGGACTCCCTACTAGTTTTGAAGATTAGCAATGGCGAAGGTCTTAGGACCTACGCTAAGAGATACTACGAGGTTTATGATCGGATCTCGGCTTGTAACCAGGAGCTGGCGGTCATTTCTTTCAAGAATGGCCTGGATGATGATTGCCCGCTTAGGTAATCACTTGAAAAAATTGTACCGAAGAGCATGAAAGAGCTCATGGCACGGATTGAGAAGTATGCTAGAGCAGAGGAAGACATGAAAGGAAAGAAGATACCAAAACAAGAAAGGAGAAGCGGCTCATCGAAGTGAGGCTGAGGGAATACCGGCGTTAACAGGCAAGAAACAGGGGTGAGGTTATGCAAGCAGTTAGCACGGTATTCAAGATTCCAATCTATAAGGTTTTGAAGAGGATTAGGAACCAGCCACACTATAGAGCACCAGAGAAGGTCCCTGGTGAGTTCATGGGCAAGGGCACTAGGAAACATTGTGCCTACCATAACGAGAATGGGTACATAACTCAAGGATGCAAGGCTCTGAAGTCACACCTGGAGGATCTAGTCAGACATGGACACTTGAGAGACCTAGTAGATAAGGCAAAGAGAAGGGAAGAGCATGCGAAGCTACCCCAAGCACCACCAGCACCACCTCTACCACCATTACCGCAATAGGGGGATGGACCTCTGGTAATCAGTGTGATTCATTCGAAGGTCACTGAGAATGAAGTTTGAGGAGAGACCCAAAGAGTAAGGCACCTGTAGCATTTATATCAGGTCCAGCAGAAGAAACCCAGAACAAATAAGTATCAAGGACTGGTGATCTCTTTTACTGAGGCTAACTTGGATATGGTGCAGCACCCGCATAATGATGCCCTTGTGGTAACTTTGAAGATTAGAGATTTCCAGGTTAGACGTATATTGATTGATCAAGGAAGCTCTTGTGACATGATGTATGTTAGATGTTACAAGGAGCTTGGCCTTTATAAGGATGATCTAGAGCAATCTAACAACCTTATGGTCGGATTCAATAGGACGCCGACGTGGCCTCTAGGAGCTACCTGTCTAGAGGTGCAGGCAGGGAACAAAAAGGTAGTAACTGAGTTTATTGTGATAGATACTCCTTGCCCATACAACATCATTTTGGGAAGACCGTGGTTGCATGCAATAAGGGCTGTTCCCTCAACGCTGCACCAACTGTTGCGATTCCCAACTAAATAGAGGATTGAAGAAGCAAAAGGAGACCAAGTACAGGTAAAAATTGCTCCATGGCAGCAATGAAGTACACCTGTAATGTAAGGGAAGCAGAGAGTACAGAGATTGAAAGCAAAGACCATGAGGTCTTGGATGAAGTCGACAAAGAGCCCGCCGACAAGAGCGAAGAACTTTTGAAAAAGGTTCATGTGCAGAAAGATGATGATGAACAATTCTTCCCCCTCGACTCTGGCTTAGCCAAGAAAGAATAAAGAGTATTGGAGGCTTTCTTGATAGAGAACATAGAGGTGTTTTCCTGGACACCCTATGAGATGCCGAGGATCAGCCCGATGTCACCTGTCACAGACTTAACGTGGATAAGTTGGCTAAACTAGTCGTCTAGAGAGCAACGAGGCCGACATTGATACATGCGCAGGTAGTTGAGGAAGAAGTAGACAAGCTACAAGAGGCATAGGCCATCAGAGAAGTGAATTATCCTACCTAGTTGTCCAATATAGTGGTGGTGAAGTAGAAGAATAGCAAGTGGAGGGTCTGTGTGGACTTCACAAGCTTGAACAAGGCATGCCCCAAGGACAACTTCCTACTATCCAAAATTAATCAACTGGTAGATGCCACATCAGGGCATGAGAGGATGAGTTTTCTGGATGCATACAGAGGTTATCACCAAATAGCAATGTATGCCCCAGGCGAAAAAAAGACAACATTCATCACCTCCAAAGGACTCTATTGCTACAGAGTAATGCCCTTTGGGCTGAAGAATGCAGGAGCCATATACCAAAGACTGGTCACTAAGATGTTCAAACATCTAAATGGAAGGATAGTGGAGGTCTACATTGACGATATGGTTGTCAAAACCAAATAAACTGGGAATCATCTGGCCAACCTGAAAGGGGTCTTTGACATATTGAGAACATATTGGCTTCGACTCAATGCCTCGAAGTGTGCATTTGGAGTTGGATCCGATAAGTTCCTGGGATACTTGGTCACTAGAAGGGAAATTGAAGTAAGCCCAGATCATATCAAGGCTATCCTCAATTTGAAGAGCCCGACAATAGCCAAATAAGTCCAAATTTTGACTAACAGGGTAGCAGCCCTGAACAGGTTCATCAGCTAAAGTTCAGATAATTGCAAATAGCACTACAAGAAGTTGGGTCTTGAATGACGAAATTTTTTTGTCTCGAAAGCGCTAATTTCGTCACTATAGATATTTGTGAGGAAATATTTTCGTCACCAGTTTTGTCATTGAATGTTTGTCACTAAAAACCACAGTGACGAAAAATAATTTCGTCACCAATGAAATTACTTCAGTGACGAAATTTTTTGTCACCAATAAAATAAGATTTTGTCGCCAAAAATTTTCTTTTTCGTCACCAAATAATTATTCAGTACCATATTTATAATTTTAGTTGACGAATAAATTTGTCACAAATGTTGATCATTGATGAGGAAATAATTTCCTCATAGTAAGATGTAAAGGTGACGAAATTTTTCGTCTTAAAAAGTCATACATGGGTGACGAAATATATTTCGTGGCAAAAAGATGTATACGTGACAAAATTTTTAGTCACCAAACAACAAAATCAACAAAACTTTTCATATATAACTGTGATAAATTTCGTCACAAAACTTATTGTTCCATATTTTATAATTCAATTTAAATTATTATTTCACAAATATCCTGCTCATATCTCAATAGCCTTCAAATATACTAACAAATCCACTAGCTATTATACATCACTCTACAAAACAATTCAGTAACCAATTTATATTATAAATCAAAATAAATCCATCATACAAATTTAATAATAATTCATCATACAAATTTTTAGCCTCCAAAGTCCATTTCTCCTGTAGATAAGCCAAACCACGAGCTGCATCTTGAGCAATTTTTAATCTTGCCATCCATGGCAGAGGAGACGCTACCCGAGCCAACAGATGGTCCTTTAAGCTTTTGTTACGTATGAGCTCATACACCAAAAGCCGCTGAATCCCTCTTTCATAATCTTTTGCACAATATCCCACTAACTTTGCAAGATTTGGGTGCTTGACTACACCCAACAAGTTCATTTCATTGATCCATCCCTTGTGCCCCTGAAAACTAGAACAAAAAATAACACCCATCAGATAACCTTTAAATTTATGGAGGAGATGCTCTCAAAGATCAAACATACAATATAGCATTTTATCAATCCACAGCTAGGAAATGAGATCAGTCCCATAAGCAGAGGAACCCATTCTCTGAATCCACTTCCTGCCGGTGACATAAATGGGTCATTGTAATTATCGATTTGATAACTCTGTAACTAAGAAATAACAAAAGCCTTGAAAGCTATGAAAGATTCAATCATTGCCAACAAAACAAAATGGCAGCAATTGCCATGGGCAGGTGCACATTTTTTTATTTTTATTTTTTTAAATGAGAAGAATCAGAGTATATTTAGATTAGGCATAAAAAGCATCAATGTCGTAAAACCAAGATAACAAAAAACCCTCATCTGGATGATAGTGCTGACACTAATTCGAAGAAGCTAAAAACCCGAGGGCACATTTGGAACTGAACAACTATTTGGTCACAAGCATACAGTGATCATTTAATGGGCATTGATGATTAACAGAGATACATCCAAGATGGATCGTGTCTTATCAATTAACATATCATGAAACGCCAGAATTATGTATCCACAAAACAATTTCATTTCCATGAAACATCCAAATATGCAAATGTCCCATGTTGAAAAATCTGATATGGAGAAAGAAATGCAGCAACCAAAAAGGAAAAAGAATGCGTGGTCTCATTCAGACTTTCAAACAAATGGTGCAATTTTATGGGACTGATCTCATTTCCTGGCTCAAATCCATTCAAGTTCGTAACTAAATTGACATACTTAAAAGCTTAATTTCCTAAGACTAAGTTTGAATCATGATCTTCAATTTTCTACAGCATGACAAACATAGAATTACTAAGTCTTTCACGCTAATCCATCACGCTGCATCATGCATGGCGATGGATCCATGAGGTTGGCTTGGAACTGCAAAAGACAGCAGCAACTGAGTAATCAAAGACAAGCATATCTAGATTCTAACCAATTATTTAACAAGTTCAATTTACTATGATGAGACTAACATTTTTGAAATTTTGGGAAGCAAAGCTCTGATTTTATTAGATTTTTCTGTATTCCTTTTTTCTGCATTGGTGCAAGTTAGGATGCAATAGAGCATAGAGTATATTGAAATCTACACAGATGGGATCTACATTAGTATGCAGAACAATATGGAAATTTACAATTACCAAAAAATAAAAAAGTTCGAAAGCTTTTAAGTCACAAAAACTCCAGAAATGTTCAAATGGGTACAAAGGTTTGCTGCATTTTCTCTGCTTCTTGTACTCATGCAAGTTGGAGCACAGTGGACTGAGGTCTACCCAGATGGGATTATGCAACATGTAGAACCAAAGTACTTAATAAATAAAATCAACATTAATAATTTGGAAATTCACCAAAGTACTTAAATATTGATTGAACTGAGCATATGTTCACTGTATATGAAGGTCAAAAGATTAGAATCATCATGTGACATGCACTGATGGGAAATTGTTAAATAATTGGTATGAAAGCTAGAAGAGAGACCTGATGCAAACATACCAAGCTTCAAACAAGGTCTCCTAGTTAACTTGCTCCAAGCAAATTGAGTATGTCAATTCATACTCTGAAGCCTTATTATCTGTATCTTATTTTCTCGTGTCTTGAATTGCCTAAAAGCCAAATTTGAAGTCAGAAATTATAAACCATCTTGAAAGAGTAAAAAAGACACTGATAAAAAGTAAAAGCTGAAAAAACTACAACTAAATTTTGATATCATTGACTTCATCAAGCTATCTCGGAGAATAATTTTGAGGGAGCTAAATGATGAATATGATGATGACGTATTGATGAAGATGAGAGTGATTGGGAATTCTGCTCCAAAGAATGATGCTTTGGAAAGTATATCTTTGCAGACCACTCTGTTTTATGGGTTTCTATCAGACAAAGATTGCATAAAATTACTCATTAAATTAAAAAAGAATCAAATGCAGATAAAAGAGTCAACAAGAAAGTTGCTCTGATTTGCATTTGAACAAGCAAGAAGAACCCTATCAATTGAGCATTATAGTCCCACCATGATTCATGAGATTTGATCATATTTGGTAATTTAAAGAGTAAATACGAATGTGAAACATCTCAGCAGGGCTTGTTAGTCTCACTGTTTCTAAGAAACAACAAAGTCACCAGCAGCAGGTTGCGGAGTTTGCACATATTCTATTTTCCTGTTATAATTAATTATGGTGATTTATATGATAACTCTCTTAAACAGGAAGAAATTGCAATTAAAGAAACTTGTTTCCTTATTAGCTGCGCCAAAAACCATTGGCTGAGCCTCCTCATGCACTTAGGACAAACAAATACAATTAACATTATTTAATTAAGCAAAGCATTGTGAAAATTTAGATAATAGCGTGCCAATAATCAAATATCCACTTAAATAAGAAAACAATCAAAATAAGGAAGCTGAAAGAAAGATCAGCAGATGGATCTACACAATCACAATTCACATAATACCAGCTAATGGATTTTGAATGTACTAGTTAACAACAAAGCCACTGTTTTAGCAAATGTAATTCAAATGTTGAGCTTATGATCATAAAATTGCTACTGTCTTGCCAGCAAGACCAACAAGAAGATAAGCAATACACTCCTAAATAATTGTAACAAAAATTTTCTTTTCAAGTTCCACATCACCACATTGCACCTATGCAACAAAAATTTCAGGCATTAATGATAAAAATTATGTACTGCCAAAATAAAAATTATCAATTTTAATCACTCCTATGGGTAGGTAAATATATGACGAACATGGTGTTGAAATTAATTTAGAATTAATTTTCAAAGGTTGAGTTTAATAGAGTTTTGAAGTTTGAAGAGTCACATGATTATATTCAAAGTGTCTTGATGTGTGCGTGTGTGATAGTACATATTAACTATTTAAAAGTTCAGATGTATTCAAAGACCATTATATAAAGTGACGCGGTCATTTGAGAATATACAAGAACAAGAAATTTAGAAGTAAAAACTATAGAGCTGAGTTCTTAAAAGATATTTGTGTTTCTCAGGAACTATAGAGCTAAGTTCTTATAATACGCGTTTCTGTCATATAGTGATGATATTAATACAATGTAGCTAAATATCTAATTAATTATTGCTTCCTGTATTTACAGTCCCATCTATAACACTGATGATTGGTCTCCAAGTGGTGATGTCTATGTTGGAGGTAAGATGATATTTTATAACATTAAAATATCACATGGTGCTTGACATGAGACTGATTAGATGATTTCATGACAAACAACTCTATTAACACATACATTTTTTACTCATAATTGTAGTAAACAAGACATAAAGAGACAAGTACACTAGTTAGTAAAAGTGTTCTAAACTTTTCATGGTTACTCTAACTGAACAAATATTGAGTACAAACATCATCTTACGAGATGCCACTTGACCAAATGGGCAGGGTTGGGATCAATTTTCTCTCCCACTTAACCAATGAAGTGGCTCCCACAGGGCCCAAGTTCATTTAAAGTTAATCATTAGTCAATGATAGCATATAGCATATGACAATGCTAGTGGTAAGGTATCATCTTTGATTACTATTGATATGTTTAGCCCAACTTTTTACAAACTAAAAGTTAATAATCTAAAAGCAAAAGTTAGAAGCACCCTTCAATAGTTTCTAGATTATCAGCTAATTTAAGTTATTTCTACCTCATAAGCACTGCACAAAACACTTCATATGTTTGGATGAACTGATAAGAGAGTATTGGAAATGCAGGTACCACAGGATTGTTGATATGGGCAGTAACCCTGGCTGGCATTCTTGCAGGGGGTGCCCTCCTTGTTTACAGTACAAGTGCTTTGGCACAGTAGAAGACTCACTCATGACTCAAGACCTCCCCTTTTGATAATTCAAGTCTTGTATTAATTGAAGTCTTTTCAAAAAGTAACTGTGCAAAACAATACCATTATGCATGCATGAACAATATACTTTTTATGCTTTTGAAACTTGATCTGTAATCTCTGTAATATTGTTTTGGTATGGAATTGTTTTCATGCTCGTAATATGTTTGATGTGAATTAATCTTATATCTGCCTTTTTTTCCCATGTAAACTGCAGGACATAGTTTATTAAAACAAACCTACCATACTTACAAAAATAAATAAAATAAAATAAAATAAAAACAAGCACCTAAATCCATCCAGAACTTGGATCAGTCTTTGCAATGATTTTGTTGTCTTTTTACCACAATTTGGCACATCACTGAGAACCCAAATCCAACAACTCAGATTTAATCCAAATTATCTATAATTGCAAACTTTCCAGCCAATTCCTTATCCTCATGCCCCCTTGACCAGTCATGCCACATTGTTTGATTTTAATATTCTTGCATTTTGTTTTATATTTCTTTGGCAGGGGACTAGGGACAATCAATCTAATGTTTCCAAGGTGTTTTCCCAGCTTAATGAGGTAAGATGCACATTCTTATAGAATGTTTACACTTCCTTTTGTTATAATGATGTTCCCTTTATGCTCTATCTAAAACCTACTCTACACATCCTAGGTTGCCCTCCTCAAATCTTCAAATTCTGCACCAGTTCCAGATACAAAGCCCATGGAACCTGCAAAACAATCTGCTGCTCAAAATACTAATCCAGATGCATCATCCATCTCAGCATTTATGACCCAAGTGGCAGACCTTGTTGAGTGTGTTAAAAAACCCCATTTTTCTGCTCACAGATGTTTCTTTATGTTGCAGAGTATATATTAATAGATTCTTAAAATTCCTACTCTAACTGAACAGATATTGAGTACAAACATCATCTTACGAGATGTCACTTGACCAAATGGGCAAGGTTGGGATCAATTTTCTCTCCCACTTAACCAATGAAGTGGTTCCCACAGGGCCCAAGTTCATTTAAAGTTAATCATTAGTCAATGATAGCATATAGCATATGACAATGCTAGTGGTAAGGTATCATCCTTGATTACTATTGATATGTTTAGCCCAACTTTTTACAAACTGAAAGTTAATAATCTAAAATCAAAAGTTAGAAGCACCCTTCAATAGTTTCTAGATTATCAGCCAATTTAAGTTATTTCTACCTCATAAGCACTGCACAAAACACTTCATATGTTTGGATGAACTGATAAGAGAGTATTGGAAATGCAGGTACCACAGGATTGTTGATATGGGCAGTAACCCTGGTTGGCATTGCAGGGGGTGCCCTCCTTGTTTACAGTACAAGTGCTTTGGCACAGTAGAAGACTCACTCATGACTCAAGACCTCCCCTTTTGATAATTCAAGTCTTGTATTAATTGAAGTCTTTTTCAAAAAGTAACTGTGCAAAACAATACCCCTATGCATGCATGAACAATATACTTTTTATGCTTTTGAAACTTGATCTGTAATCTCTGTAATATTGTTTTGGTATGGAATTGTCTTCATGCTCGTAATATGTTTGATGTGAATTAATCTTATATCTGCCTTTTTTCCCATGTAAACTGCAGGACATAGTTTATTAAAACAAACCTACCATACTTATAAAAATAAATAAAATAAAATAAAAACAAGCACCTAAATCCATCCAGAACTTGGATCAGTCTTTGCAATGATTTTGTTGTCTTTTTTTTATCACAATTTGACACATCACTGAGAACCCAAATCCAACAACTCAGATTTAATCCAAGTTTTCTATAATTGCAAACTTTCCAGCCAATTCCTTATCCTCATGCCCCCTTGACCAGTCATGCCACATTGTTTGATTTTAATATTCTTGCATTTTGTTTTATATTTCTTTGGCAGGGGACTAGGAACAATCAATCTAATGTTTCCAAGGTGTTTTCCCAGCTTAATGAGGTAAGATGCACATTCTTATAGAATGTTTACACTTCCTTTTGTTATAATGATGTTCCCTTTATGCTCTATCTAAAACCTACTCTACACACCCTAGGTTGCCCTCCTCAAATCTTCAAATTCTGCACCAGTTCCAGATACAAAGCCCATGGAACCTGCAAAACAATCTGCTGCTCAAAATACTAATCCAGATGCATCATCCATCTCAGCATTTATGACCCAAGTGGCAGACCTTGTTGAGTGTGTTAAAAAACCCCATTTTTCTGCTCACAGATGTTTCTTTATGTTGCAGAGTATATATTAATAGATTCTTAAAATTCCTCCTCATTATTCTTTTGTTAGGCTTGTAGATTCAAGGTACTACAACAACTGTTTTGAAGCAAAAGAAATAGTATCCACAATTCATTTCAAGCTAATAATTTGGAGACCTTTGAAATGCTTTTAAAAAAATCTTAGCAAGTGCTTAGGTTGAAAAATCATACAACTACCAAAGGTCTAGGGTGATGCAGAATGTTCATGCATACACATGGAGACTTTATTTACAATTTTATAATTTTGACTACAGTATTTTATTCATTTTCTTTTTAATTAGGAGTCTTATTAATACTGGGTTTTCTATTTATACTACATAGTGTCAGAGTTATTCAGTTAACCAACATTGCATTAATTCTTCCAAATAGTTCATGACTTTTACTGCAGTACCAGATTTGGTCCATATGATGTGCTCTAGGGATAAATTTCAGACCTAATACAACATAATACATGGGGAAACATAGTTTTAATTTACAATAAGCTGACACCATTGATGTCGCTGGTGGAGGACGGCAGCAGAGATCTACAGGTTGTGAATGCTAACGAAGCTACTCTACTCTGTTGCTTGGATTGCAGATACAGTTGTCATTTAACATCTCCCCATTCATTATGCAGTAGTTATAACAAATTATTATTATTTAAGGAGGGTTATTCAGCTCCAATATGTGTATTATTAGTGCATCAAAAATATCTATATTTGATTTGTTTTTAACCCCATTGAAGTTGTGATTGTTTCATTTTCCAGTGTGTACTTGTCAAATTGTGATTTATTTGAAAATGTGATTTTATTGGGAAGGTTGTTTTGTGTCCTAATTTTATTGGTATTATTTGGTGACCTCCTCTTCCGTGATAGATTCAATCTTTAGAATGTTATTGGTAATTGGTCTCTTTTTATGATATATATTGCAGAATGTTCACTGAACTTGTGCTCAGTTCTGGAAATGGCACCTGATACTCCACTGTGGTCTTTGATGTGCACTCCCGTAAATTCTGCAATAATAGCATTACTACAATGCTATGATCATACATATATATTTTTATGACAGGACTCACTGTTGTTGAGTATAAGGCTTTTAGAATAAATTTTGAATTAGTGTGATAAACTCACATATGTATCGGTTAAGCTCGGGTATTTTGTTTCTTGTGAGAATTGAACATGAATCCTCCAAAACAAAAATTAAAAAAATAGTGAGTTTTCATATTCAATCCTTTAAAAAGGCTACCTGCATGGATTATTGTGATCGTGCATGTGCTCAATCTAATCAACAATATTAGCATTGAATTCATAAGATGTTTCTTTTAGAAATGAAATATGTGGAAGTACATATTATGTGGCACCAGAAGTCCTCCATAGATCTTATAGTCTAAGGAGCATACTGTAAAATATATTAAGAACAGAGCATGTTAATGCTACAAGTGAGACAGATAGATATGTAAGGAGAGAAATGTTCAAACAAGGTTGCAACAATTTTGCTAGGACTAACGTACTTTGCTTGAAAAATACTGTAAAATATAGTTGAGAAAATGGAGATATTCTTTGATGCAAGTGCTGCACGCTAACCTGTTGGTGAATTCCCTTCTTCAGCTGAATAATTTCTTGATTAATAGCGTCAATCCTCTCTAAGATATAACAAACCAAAGATAATGTGAATGCTCTCTGATATTCATTTCTTGATTCATTTCTTGATTCATTTCTCTCAAATTAATAACAGTTGAGGAAGGATTGATTCAAACCAAAGCTTGTTTCCAGAATCAAACTACCTGGTGGAAAAATCAATAGATTGACGAAAAAGAGATCGAATTACAGTGAGTTCAGATGAAGAAGTTGAATACCAATTACAGTGAGTTCAAATGATCGAAGTAGAGAGATGAATAAGTTAAAATACGAATGAATGATTCGAAGAGACTCAGAGAGAGAGAGAGAGAGAGACATACCGTTGGAGATTTCTTCTTTAGACAACCGTGGTGATCTACAGAGCAAAATCGAGAGAGGGCTCTTGATCTAACAATGAACCTAGTTACTCAGACACGATCGAGCGATTTGGGGAAAATGAGAGTCCAGGGCAAGATATAAATCAACGATCGAGCGATTTGGGGGAATTGAGAGTTTAAGAAAAATGAACAATATAAATTGGGCTGAGTGGTTATTGGAGCTCGCAAGTTTTTGTTTGAAAATATAAGTCCCAATACTGGCTTCGGCTGATTTGCCGTTGTAAATAATATTTTTTTGCGACGGTCAAATAATCAATCGTAAAAAAATAGACGCGAAAAGTTATTTTTGTGTTACTAATAATTTTATAATTTGTGATAAATTTTTTTCTCACTAAAAGTCTCAAATTTTTGGCCCCATCTAAAAAATTTAAAGAGAAAACCTTCAGTGACGAAATTTAATTTTTCGTCTCCTAAAATAAAGTATTTATTGACCAAAATAAATTTCGTCACCTATTATTTTTACTTTTTTATTATGTGACAAAATTTTGTAATTCGTCACCGAATATTTTTATTTAGTGACGAAATTTATTTTCTTCACTACTTTTTGTCACTATAAGTTACTTAGAAAATTAATTAACTTGTGTTTTGTTTAGAGAGAGAGAGAGAGAGAAAGAGGGGAGAGGAAAATTGATAAACAAAAAAGGGGGGGCGGGGGGGGGGGGAAGTACCTATATTTTTTTTCATTACTGTCCAATATGTCAAAAAATTTCCTCCAAAATTAGTGACAGAATAATTTCCTCACTAAAAAGCCTTAAAATATTAAAAATTATTAGTGATAAAAATATATTTCTCACCAAATAGTCTTAAAATATTTAAAATCAAGTTTCTCAATATATATATATATATAATTATTGGTGACGAAAATATATTCCTCACTAATAATTTTATAATTGGTGACAAATTTTTTTCTCACCAAAAGTCTCAAAATTTGGGCGCCACAAAAAAAAATTAGTGGAAAAACCTTCGGTGACGAAACTTAATTTTTCCTCTCCTAAAAAGAAGTATTTGTTGATGAAAATAAATTTCGTCACCTATTATTTTTATTTTTTTATTATATGTGACAAAATTTTATAATTCGTTACGGATTATTCTCATTTAGTGACGAAATTTATTTTCTTCACTGCTTTTCGTCATCATAGGTTACTTTTGTTGTAGTGTAGTTTTTTGGCTCATTGAAGAAAGCCATAGACTTTCTTTAGACAGAAGAATGTGAAGTCGCCCTGGCCGACTTGAAGAAATACCTAACAACCCTACCAGTGTTGTCGAACCCGATACCAGGAGAAGAATTGTTCTTGTACCTGGCAATTTCGAACCATGTCGTGAGTGTCGTGGTCATTCAAGAAGAAGAAGGTGAGCAGAAGGAAATGTACTATGTGAGCAAGACCCTAGAAATGCAGAAACTCGGTACCTGCCTCTGGAAAAGTTAACATTAGCTCTGGTAATCGCCTAAAAAAAGTTAAACCACTACTTTCAAGCCTAAAAGATTATGGTGCTGACCGAGCATCCACTAAAGTCCCTGTTGCAGCATGGAGACCTGACAGGTAGAGTAGCTCAATGGACTGTAGTTCTAGGTCAGTATGACTTAGAATTCAGGCGAAGAACAACAATCAAGGGCTATGTTTTGGCCGATGTTATGGCAAAATTCTCTCCAGGTGCGATCCCAAGGCAGGCACCATTGAGCCACGACCTAGGATGTCAAGGAAAGGAAAAGGAAAACCAATTAGGGCCACAGAACCCTACGTTGGCAAAACAAAATAAGGGAGAAAAAATGCTAAAACTTTGCGATATTTACATCGGTGACTCCTTCTGCCTCTTTGTCGATAGCAGCTCAAACCGATAGGGAGCAGGGGTAGGAGTGGTTTTGGTATCGCCAGATGAGCAAATGATAAAACAATCCATCTGTTTGGGGTTCAAGGCCTCAAATAACGAAGCAGAGTACGAGGCACTAATTACTGGACTAAAACTAGTAGTAGCTATAGAAGCCGACGAAGTGGTAGTCTTCTGTGACTCCTAGCTCATTGTAAATCAAGCAACGGACGAGTACAGATAGGGATGAGAGGATGATAGCCTATGTCAAGGAGGTTGTCAAGTTGTTAACACATTTCCAAAGCTGTTGGCTACAACAGGTTAGCCAAGATGATAACAGCCATGCCGATGCACTGGCTAACCTCGCCAGCGCGATGAAATCAAGTGAGGCAAGGACAATAATGGTGGATTATCTGTTGGGCCTAAGTATAGAGCCCTAATAATAGAGTATGAAGCAATATGTGTGGAGATGGGTCCAAGCTGGATGGATGACATAGTTATGTTCCTCTAGGATGGCACGCTGCCAGTAGATAGAAAAGAAATGCACAAGATCAAATTGAAGTCGGCCAGGTTCTACTTGTCAGCGGAAAGCCATCTGTACAGGATATCCTTCACTGGACCCTTTCTGTGATGTGTGCACCCATCCTAAGTAGAGGACATTTTATATGAGATCCATGAGGGAGTATGTGGAAGCCATATTGGGGGCAGATCACTTGCCCACAGAGCCATATCTCAGGGATACTGGGGGCATTATATGTAGAAGGACACTGAAGCCTATGTAAGGAAGTGCGCAAAGTGCCAAAGGTTTGCACTTCTGATACACCAATCAACTATAGATTTGAATCTAGTGTCCAGTCACTAGCCATTTGCCCAGTGGGGCATGGATCTGGTTAGGCAACTGCCCCAAACAACTGGAAAGAGGAAGTTCCTACTAATAGCAACTAATTACTTCACGAAGTAGGTAGAGGCTGAACCCCTAGCCAAAATCTGTGTGGATGTGAAGAATTTTGTCTAGAAAAACATAATCACCAGATTTGGGATCCCAAGAGTCATCGTAGCAGATAATGGCACTTAATTCGACAGCAAGTTGGTCAAAAACTTCTTTGCGAAATACAAGATCAAGAACTATTATTCTACTCCTAGCTCGCCCAGAGTAATGGTCAAGTCGATGCGCCCAACAAGACCATCTTGGATGGAATCAAGAAAATGCTGGAAACTACCAAGGGCAAATGGGTGGAGGAACTGCCCAATGTCCTATGGGCATATCAGACAACGCCGAGAATATCTATTGGGAAATAACCTTTTACTATGGCATATGGCACTGAAGCAGCCATCCCACTAGAAATCTGCATCCCTGGAATTCGAACCCAAGGAGTAGAGAATGGAGTAAACGATGCATTCCCTGCCCGAGATCTTGATTTGATAGAAGAAAGAAGAGAAAGAGCAGCAATTTGGCTGGGGGAATACCAGTAATAGCTTGCTAGGGCATACAATAAAAAGGTCAATCCTAGGGAGTTTCAGATTGGGGATCTCATCCTAAGGAAGGTTGTTGGCAATAAGAAAGATCCTAAGGAGGGAAAGCTTGGCCCAAACTGGGAAAGACCATATCGCACCATCTCGGTCACAGGCAATAGAGCTTATCGGCATGAGGACACTTATGATAAAGAATTGTCAAGACCCTGGAACACAAGCAATTTGAAGTTTTTTTTACCATTAATTCCTGTTTTTCAAGTTTTTCTCTGTGTAAAGGTTTATTAGTCGAAGTATTAATGTCACGACCCCAAACCGCCCCTAGTAGGATGGTGCCGTGATGGCCAGTAATCCGAGATTACCGAAGGCCAACTTTCAAAATTCACACACAATCAGAGTATTACATATGGGGCTAACATGTGCGGAAGCAATAATTTACAATACAAGTGGTCCATAAGAGCAGTGCATAGATCAAATGAAATGACATACATCTTTAACTTGGTCTTACGTCTTGAATATAACATAAGCAAAATACATATTACATCATGATCGAAGGCCTCTCAAGCCGACATATACAAACACATGAACTACAAGTCAAGAAACATAATCTTCCAAATTGCCGACATCCTTACTGCCGACATAACAAACATACAAAACACACATCTCAGCGTAGCCGACTTCTTGCTGGTTACCTACATATATATAGAGAGGGTGAGCTTGGATACTCAGTGAATGGTACAAGTAATAAAGGTTTTAAATGAATGATTACCGAGATCATTGCAAAACATACATATCATAGCTTGTACAAAAACATGAGATGAATCTAGTTCATCAATCTTGATCTTACAAAACTTGCTTACTTACTTTGGATGTTAATAACATCTACATAATACAAGGGATGACATTCCGGACTTACAAAACCCACGCGGTAAACCGTCAGTGGCAAAACAAGGGAATAATCGACTCGGAATCGATTAGACAAACCACCCGCACAAGGCCGTTGGTGGGGCCATCCATTCATAGACCGTCAATGGCAGAGATCTCTCATACTTAGTACTACGAAAACTTAGAGTCCTCCAGCACAAGGGACTTTAGTACTGCGAAAGTTTAGAGTCCTCCAGCACAAGGGACTTTCCAAGAATGTCATCAAAACAAAGCTTACTTGATACATAAAAATAGGGATAACCATTCATGCTTAATCAAATGCTTTTATCAAAACGAAACAAAGCTTTATCAAATCTTTATAACATAACTTTATTAAAAATACCACTCACATAGCTCTTCGGACATCGGGATTAAGGCCAAGGTCCAAGTCCTACAAACACATGGCAAAGTCTACTGAATGTACTTCTCAAAACAAGTCTTACACGCATGCAAATGATCTCGGGAAAACATGCTGGAAGTCAAAACACTGTTTT